CACCTCAATATTTTTCTACATGATAATTTCAATGTTAACATTGAGGTCATAGACGTTGAACGCGATTGTGAATGTCCTTGCCATCCAATCAATTATTTTGACTATTTGAAAATGTTATCATATCACTTGAAACACAGAATTTTATTGCAATGCTGAGGAATAATATCAAAATGTTGCTAGATCATTGTTAATTTATATTGAATATTGAAAGCAAACTTCAAGAAGTGTTTTTTTTATTATTGTTCTTCCAGGCAGTTTCAATCTATTAAAATTTTAAGATGTAATTATAAAGAAGAAAATTGTGAATAATTTTCAATATCTTTTTTATTATGTAATCATTTTCAATGAATTAGATATAAAATGAAGATTATTCAAGATGGAGATAAATTTGATGAGAAACTTTAGTTCTTCAAAGTATATAGAGATTGATATAGGTCATTGATTTGCATGTTGAGAGTGAGAATAAAAAGTGAAACTTGTAATTTTGCAATTATAAATTTACTTCATAATAATTTATTATCACAATGTTTCAACTCTAGGAGCCTTTAATGATAATCGTTGTGCATTATTGTGCATGTGGAATTATAAATTAAATTACTAGATTTTGTTGAACTTGATCAAAATCACAAGAATAATGTACAATTGTAACCATCTAGATTTAGTTCAAACTAATATGAAAGTTATTCAAAGCGAAGATAGAATTGCATTATAATGACATATTTATAATCTTCATGTCAGCAATTTGTGTGTTTTGGTATTAAAAAAGAAATGTGTTAGTTGATAAGTACATGTATCAATATAGTGCATATAACGTTAGGATTGAATATCTTAAATAGTATGTTAGTTGAGAGCAACAAATCAATCATCCATGTGTTGTCGGATCAAATTCATATGAAAATACAAAAATACATGCAAAAGTTAAAGTGTTTTGCCATTTGGGTATGTACACATGAACATGAAGTTTTATTGTCAATAATCTAGTATTCAAGCTAAGTCTTGCCACTCATAGTAGTAACAACCAAACTCTCAAGTGGTTGACACGAGTGAATCAAACTCTTAACTAATTGCTGACACTAGTTAAAATCTGACAATTTGACCATAAATTCATGTAGAGGAGATTATAAACTCCATAATCTATATAATTATTCTACAAAAAGTTTTAGAAGCAAATCAAACACAAGCTCATCTCTAAACTAAAGCTAACTAGAACTAAGTTGTAATCAAAACATGATAACATAGAAATATATAGTTAACTGTAATTGACTCTACTTGTGAACAGTACTTGTGCTCCTCTGCAAACCTGCATAGTTGTATAATGTCTTTTAAAATTTTCTAAACTAATAGTTATGTTCAACGTATTAGTAGGATTGAATTTATTGTTAATCCTCATTAGTTCAATTTTGTATCAAATAAAATGATATATGATATTGATGTGTTTTACTCTATTATCCATCTTTTGATTTGCAACAAGATGTAATTTACTTTGGGTATCAATGTGAAGATTTATAATATCATGTTTTAATACCACTTCAATGATAAGAATATTTATACATATAGCTTACTTTACTGATCCTAGTACTGTTATATATTCAATTTTTGCTATGAATTAAACTATGTATTTCTTTAAGGTAGATATTTAATTAATGTATCCATCATCAAGTATAAAAACACATTTAATTGTAAATCTAAATCTTGTCCATAATGTAATTATTTTTAGTTAGTTCAAATTAAAGTAATTATTACTCAAAATTGAGTAGAAAAGATGACATATCTATTTTCAATATTTATTAAATATCTAAAAATCCATTTCATTATTTCCCATTACACATTCCTTGGATTTGAGATGTACGCGCTTACTATGTCCATAGGTTAGTAACAGGTGACCTTGTATTTCACAAATTCTAGAGGGCAAAATGAAATAACAAAAAGTATGGCTTCACAAATGGAGACCTCATCACACGAGGCTCTTACGCTAAAATAATAGAGTAGACATAGAATGCATAGGTATGTTTTGTAGCTCATGGTTTGTTAGCGTCTAGCACAAGTACCGCAAGGCTTAATGTGTTTTCAAGCCAAAACACATTCAAGGAACGAAAGGATAAAAGCTAAGGAGTTCGCGATGGCAGAAACCCGTACAAACCAAGCAAAGGTGGAAAGAGCCTTGTGCCGAAATAGCATTAAGAGAAGAACAACGATATGGCATTACGGGACAGATTCGGTATGTTGGGGGGAATTTAATGAGTTGGAAGCGCATCGTTGTTATTGATATTACTAAATACATGACCTCTAAGTAGCAAATGTTTACGTACTTCCAGCCTAACTTATTAATCTTTTACAATAAAACGAAATCAAGAGCAGACCCTTTTCTCCCCACCGATCGAAGAAAGTCTCATATTCCACTTAGAGAAAGAGCAAGTTGAGGCTTCTGATTCAAATAGTTACAATGACAAGGTTTAGTCTTGAAGCGAAAGTACGTCCCTTGCGTTCATAGCCATAGTGTCCCCGCCTGAATTCCGCCAGAGGTCTTTTCCCCGGAGGAGGTGAATGGCGAGCTGAACTTCATGTAAAGTTGTATGTCGGACTTGTTCACGGAAAGCATCCGTAGTATTTATTGGAGTTCGCGTTTTTGTCATAAATCTCAAAGACCCCGTGTCAGTTTTTATGCCAAAAAAAAGCAGGGCTGGGGTTGGTTCAATAGCACCTGAGCCCCTGACTTACTGAGCACCTGCCACCAGGCACGAATATGGCTACAACAAGCTGTCCAACAAACATTCTGACAGTTGACTTCCATTTCTCGCTCGAGTGATCGCAGTGCGGCCGGGCAACCTCTTGGACCTAATTTTGGGTGCAACTTTAATGTGCAATTTAGCACTTCGCTCTTTCAGTGGGTGCAGTATGTCAATGGATTCTGGAATATTGTGGGATTCACAGAGAAGTACAGTTGGTTTCCACATGTGATTTCTCGGCCTTCGATTTGACGACGACTGGATGTGGTTGGGAGGAATTAGTTGCGTTGTGATGAGGAGAGAGTTACAAGGAAGTAGACGAAGGGTCGGTAGACCTCTCTACCGACTAGTCGTTTGCCGAAGGCGAAGGCCGAGACCAACGAGGTTGTGGCCCGAGAAGATAAGTGATGACTGCGTCGTGCATCTGGCGGACCGAGAAGTCGGTCGAAAGCATGTCGTCAGTTTGTCCGCTGCGAAAGCTGACGAGTACGTGACGTATGTCTTACCAAAATCGATCTGATCCACGGATCGACCTATCAGACTCCCGCTCGACGGAGGCTCCTCGCCTCGATGTTGTCTAGAGATGGGGAACAGCCATCGCCATCGTCCCTCCTATCGTGGGATACAATCGCATCCGTCGTGTTAGTCCAGTAGGATGGAGCCAACGGTAGTCCACCAGAGCTTTTCCTCACGGTCGTAGGCGAAGATCAGCAGCAGCAGCAAGCTCACAACGAGCTTCGGCCAATCCGAACGTCATCTGGCAAGCCTTCGCTTACGACACATCGAGCTGTCAGCTAGGCTTGGCCACGGTCCGGTCCGGACCGACGGTTAACCGTCGGGACCGGTTAACCGGTCCCAGATTTCTCCGGACCGGTTAACCGGTCCGGGAAAAAACTTTCCTCTGGCAGCAGAATTAGACCAGCGAGCCTCGCTAGTCTAATTCTGCTGCCAGATTAAATTTTTTTATCATCTAATTTGATCACCCAATTCGATAAGTGGATAATCCCTAGCATAAATCTCGAGCTCGGATGTGTTTCTCCAGCTTCCCTGCACCCTGGCGCAAAGTTGAAGTCTCTTCAATTCGAGAGCGTTTTCAACCGGGAGGATTTTCAAAAGTCCGAGTGGGGGCTCATTTGAGTCCTCGAGCTATGGCGCAATTCCTCCTTCGCTCCCAGCCACAGCCCCTCCCGTCGGTCACGTAGGGTCGGGACAGATGGTTAACCGGTTAAAACCTCGGTTAACCGTTAACCGATATGGCAAAATGCCGGACCGGTTAACTTACCGGTTAACCGGTTAATTGGACCGGTTAACCTGTCCGCACATTTCCCGGACCTGTTAACCGGACCGTGGCCAAGCCTACTGTCAGCTGCACTTTGCCTAAAATCGTCTGCGAACAAGAAGAACCGTCGGACTGGCTGGCTATCGTCCCCTAGCCTTTAGCCCTTGGACCCATGTTCCTTGACTCCTCAGGGTCCTGGAAGGCTTGGGCCAAGCTACTACTCGCTCGCTTGCTGTTGTTTCTCAGCCCCCTTCGACGAATGCAGCAGGTCCAAATCCGAGCAATCCAGATCTGCGCTGAGCTTGCCACGTTGGAGCTTGGCACAGGGGATATGGATTGAGGACATCAGGCCAATTCTCTCGAAGACAGGGTGAGCATAATGCTGGTCTCATGTGCCAGTCTCTAGATTCTTGATCTACCATGCCATCGGCTGTGGTATTCCCTTGCCCTGCTCGAGTGAGGTTTCCGTCCGTTGACCTGGGCCTTGGGGAGAATCCACACCTGAACTCTACAACTACCGGTCCCATCAACAAAACCCTCGACGGGCACTCCAGCGCGCATGGACTGGTTGTTGTATTACTGGAAAAATATAACTTATGAACGAATGGATAGGAGTTGCATGTTCTTTTATCTCCATGCGAGGATTCTCAGCGCTGGCACTAATCATGTTACAAGGGACGCAATGTCATATTCAAAATTGGAGTGAAGTATCTATTTTCGTTTCTCCGTGGAACACGACACACTTTTGGGCAGAGCCAGACAGAGAATGGTCAGAGATGATTTGCTCAGAGTTTCCCGACAGTCAAAGAGGCCGTCCGACTCAGACACGGCAGTTCAGAGTGTGCCCTGTAACTCCAGTCATCGAGGTGCTGCCATCGATGAAGTTCTCAGTGTCCGCGGATGATATTCGTATACAGTCATCCATCGAAAGCAAATCATTGTCCATCGATCCATGAGCGAGATCGAAGTTTCGATTGCGCACCACGGGAACCATTGTACAAAATAGGTAGTTTTGATTTTGAGGTCCCCTGTTGGAACAGAGGGTGACATATGCATGCATACATGAGAAATTTTGGGAGCTGGACGCTCTTGAAATTCCACGGAATACCTTTCCTGAGTGCTGTTCTCTCGATGCACGAATCGGGTAGCTCTCTTTCAACAAAATGATGAAGAAGTGGGCCAACTGGATCTAACTGGAAGAGTAGTCGCTACCTCTAACCGCCCCGGGTAAAACTTCTATCCTCTGCAATGAAGAAGCTACGTACAACCTACGATCACCTACTAATCAACATCCTCGAGAACGATGGTCGTGCATCTACGACTCCCAAAGCTCTGTGACCACCTTCTCTCTATACTCATCTGTAATCATCCTCCAAAAAATTGGCTTCTCGACGAGGATTATATCATACTCTCATAGTTTCGCTGCACAAGCCGCTACCGGAAGCTACTCACAACCTCTCACTCACTCACTCTCTCGTATAGAAAAATCCATGCCTGGATCGGTTTTCTTGAAGCACTCCGCAGAAACTGGAAAATTAGAGGCCTGGAATCCTCCTCATCTGATGTACAATCCTCACTCCCAGAGACAAAATGAGATCAACCAAAATTAAACCCCTTACATCCATCATCCGTCCCGCTCCGTGTTGATCGTGCCCTGCCCGACCCTGTCCTGTCCTATTCAACCTCGTCAACATTGTCGGCCTCCACCTCGCTCCCTCCCTCGTGTTCGGTTCAATTTCTTCTGAACAATTCTGTCCTCCACGATGCAATTTTCCAAATCTGCAGAAGCTGAAACACGGCACTAATCCAAGACTGTCTTGTCTGCCGGCGTCTGTGGTTACTCATTTTCACCCCCGGCTTTGAAGAATGTCTACCTATTCTCAAAGACCTGGCGCTCCTGGACGAATGCCTCCTGATTGAAGTTCGGTTAGATTGTTTGCAATCGGAGCGAAGACATGAGAAGAGGAGAATTCTACCTTCTCCGCTTCGGTCGGTACTCTTGCTGTTCTCCGCCCGGTGGGAATCATTCAGTCGTATAATCTCGTGGACAGAAATCAAGTAATTCAGGGAAAGAAAAATAATGTGCTTTGAGATCCGGGGATCTGTATTCTGCTCTGCTCTGCTCATCGTCAATCAAACACAGGGAGGCCGCTCCGGCAATCAGTGAATTGGTGGCTCGAATCTACTACCTCTCAGCTCGCCTGTTCTCATTCATCGCATCTCACCGTTACTCTCGCGCTGTGGGGCATTCTCCTCCTGCGTGGGAAATTTCTTCTCCGCCGTCTTCTTCATCGCGTCCGACGATCGATGGTGAGGGTACGACTCGTTTCTTATTCGTGCAAAATCAACAAACATCCGACCTACGCTACTCACTCCGACGGGGGCATGTGGCGGTCGTCGTCAACCCACGACGAACCAGTCATCGAGATCCGCACAACAGCGCTCGACCTCGGACCAGCTGGAGTCGCTGTCAGCCACGGACTTGTCGTCCTCGTCCTCGTCCTCCTCCGAGGCCACCTCGCGGACGGGGGGCAGCCTGCGAACTCTTCGCACGGTGCGCAGGAAGCTCTGGATCGGGAGAACCATGTCCGAGGTCCGCTGCAGATTTTCCCTCGCCTCGTCGGAGCTGGTGGCCGAGGCCTCGAGCTCGTCCTCGTCCTCGGTCGCCGACTCCTCGTAGTCGCTGAAGTGCTCGAACTCGTCGCCATGGAACGACGAGCTCTCGGACGAGGGCGCCGAGTAGCAGACTCGCCACTCGTCCAGCCGGTTGTCCGCGGCCTTGGGCTCGGCCTTGGCCTTCCCCGCAGCCCTGTGCGCCGGTTGCCCCACGGGGCACACCAGGCAGCGCGACTTGTTCCCCGCACACCTGCCGGTCATTCTCGAGTGGCTGCTGGGCTTCGTGGGCGCCTTCACGCCATCGCCCTGTTGCTGCTGCTGCTGCTTGCGCAGCCTCACGAGCGAGCCGGGCATTCGGCCCTCGCGCTTCATCTGCTGCTCGGCGCTTGCTCGCTTGCTTGCTCGACCTCCTCCTGCTGCTGCTGCTACCCAACCTCGCTCCCTGCCGATCGCCGATGAGATCGATGGATTCGAGTCCTCGAGTAAATGCCCGAGCGCCTGAGTCTCAGAAGAAGAGAAGGAATGACCTACGGACAAGTAATACCAACAGCCAGGCCACAGGCTGAAGGTAGATCACGAGAGATCTACATGCGAAACGGCTGGAGATCGTGAAATCTGCGACGGGACGACGAGCAGACCAGAGGCGGAGTGCGGGGCGGCCACGAAGTTGAGGAAGAGGAAGGGGAAAATCGAGGCCGAGCACAGCCCGAAGGAGGAAGATGCGAGATGCAGGCTGGCTGGCTGGCCGGCCGGCTAGACGATGGCACCCACACCCACACGAGCCCCCGCACCCGCACCCGATGTTTAGATTATAGATCAGATTCCAGCCCCAGTCGCAGCGAGCACGAAAAACTTCTGAGGAGTGGACGCAAAACCGCGCCTCCCCGACGAACAGTGAGTGCGAATCTCGCTCTCCCCTGTGGCCAAATGGAGACGGAAGAGCTCACTCGGTCTGCACCAGAATCACTGCGCTCGTCGTCGGCAGGTGCCGCAGAGGCGATGGTGCTGTGCTGCGCTCTTCACGTCCCGGCCTCGGAACCATGAGCGCCGGAGGGCCCGAGGGCAGGGGAGGGGAGGGGACGAGAAACGAAGGGGGTCCCGATCGAAGGACCCGCCTTCTAGCCAGGTCGTCCGAGCCTGCGAATCCCAGTCGACAGGACTCGCGATCCGCAGCCGACGCCGAGCGCAGACAAAGCGCTCGCTCGCTGCTCCCCCGGGACCTCCTCTCCAACACGCGAATAACTTCTGTGGTCGGCAAGCCGCGATGGATGGATGCGATCTGCCCAGCAAGCTTCCGAGCTCCACAGTGGCGAGGGGTCACATTTCATTCGTCGCCCCCCGCTGCCCCTCTGCCAGGTCAAAACCATTAAATGTGTGCGGGGGACGCCACAGGCTGACTCGCCTCTAGGACCCTCCCACCCTCCCCTCCATGCATGCATGCGCCTCCCGTCCCCCTCCCCCCTCCCCCGGCCTGCATGCCTGCCTGCCTGCCTGCCTGCCTCCGTCCCTCCGCTGCTGGCCTTCTTCGTCGGTGGTCGTTCCCCGAGAAAGCTCCCGGACTCAATGAGTATGTCCGTCTATCTGATCTGATCCGGTACAGCAAAGGTCTTGGAGAGATCGGACGGACGGGGAGAAGAGCGGAGCGGATGAGGGCGGAGAGGACGAACGAGAGAGAGAGAGAGAGCTGAGGAGCGAGAATTGAGATGTTCGAGGTGTATTTGTTTGTTGTGTGAGCAATTTAGTGATTTGATTATCTGTGCAGGTTAAGGTTGGAGTTTTATCCCCTGCTGCCTACTTTTGGACCTGGCAATCGTGCATGTCCACCATGCCTGCGTGACAATCCGGCAGCGAGCCAGAGTCTTGTTTGTCTGGTTTCCATGGCCCAGGAGAGGATTTGGAGAAGATTCTCGGCCCTTGAGTCTCTGGAAGATACTGGTGCAGTGGATTGGAATGCTCGGAGGAAATTGGATGGACCCCTTGACCGCGTCCTCGAGTTCTCCACGAGTCAAGGCACAGGAGCGAAGAGAAGTAAGGAGACGACGGGCGAGGGTGCATTGTTCTGTGATCTCCGGCTGCTCACGAGGGAGAGAAGCACTCACGCAGTCGTCGGACACTGTGATCTTCATCCGATGCAATCCGTGCGTGCAGCTCGGCGGATAAATCGTCGCTGCACAAGGTGCCAATGTCGTCGTCGCTGTTGCTAGGCGAAAACGGACGAAGGGCTTTATGAATGGAGGCAGATGGGGATGTGCGGATCGGTGAAAGAGTGCATGCATCTCCAAGTCTTCGGCCGCCGAGAAAGGTCACAGGACTCGGGGAAAGCAGTGCAATGCAGGAGTGCAGGAATTTCGAGTCCGACCATCGGGCCACACACAGCGAGGGAAGAGCTCGTTGGCAGAATTGATGATTGCACACCAGTCTTAAATTGGCGAAGTCTCCGCCTGGAGACTCGCGCGATGACAAAGAGTTCGGGAAAACGAAGAGAGCGAGATGGGGAGAGGGGCGGGTGGCGGGGATGGTGGTCGATCACAATCCGCAACCCTGCGCGAGATGTCCAACGCTTTCGGGAGACGATAAGATCAAATCCCGCGTAAACGATGTGACTGCAACCACATCCGAGCTCGCTCGATGGGCGAACGATTACGATCTGGGAGTTGGATTTCGTTAACGTAGTAGGACAGGACACTCCACTGACTGTCCAACCTTTAACCGATTTTCTTAGAATCGAGAACGAATGTCATTGCACCGTTCAGTACTGAGGATGCCTGTCTGTGAGGTTCCTCTCGTGAGTGTCTGCTCCTCAGAATGCAGTTATTTTTACGCGATAGTTCAAACAATATGCAAACGAGGCAAGAGAATTTGTCGTCGTGACAATCTCACGTGCATTTTGAAAGCTGACCCCGGCGTAGGAATTGTCCATAAGACAGACTATGGGAAGGATGAAAATGGTCTGCAGACCGACAATGGACTTCGCAGTGAGATGCAACAACGCAGCAATTCATAACGACCTATCTTTCAGGTAGTAGTAAGTGGCGTGAGGTGTTAACTGGAACGGGCAATTGTATGAAGCATGACCGCCATGAGCAAACGCCGTCTTCCACGTGCCCCATCCCCCCGTGCCAGACGAGAGGGTCGACCGACAATTGTGCACCTCACATCTTTCTGGTAGAGGACCAACGACGAGAGATAAGACGAAAGAGCAGGGGAAGAAGATGCTCTTCCTCGCCGTAAAGGCATGCAGCATTTTGTGACAGGAAAGCTTCTCGTCGGCACCACTCCAGAACTTGCGGGACCAATTCGTGAGCAGACGAAGGGAGAACTCCCTGTGCTCTGGTATTGCCTGTAAGCCTTACAGGCAATATGGCACGGTTCAAGTGACCTTACAGTGTAAATAAATGCCATAAATACCAACCCCTCACGTTTTCACACGGAACAGCTGCGGCTGCAGCAGGGGGTTCGGGGTACAATGATTTTGGATGCTTTGTGTCGAGAGGAAAACAGAGCAGTAACTCTCAGCTTTTGGATCCATGTACCAAATCTCCAGGTCTTTGTCAGAAAAGGAGGAGAAATAACATTCTTGTTTATAAGGTAAGGAGGATAATCAGAATCACCTCATATCTGCTCAATGATTCTCTCTTGTTGGTAATACTCTTATCCTAATCGTGCTTACTAAATTATTAGTGAAATGAATGTATGCATATGGTCAAGGATGGTTATTTTAGTAGACGGTATACCAAGGCGCCTAAATTCACAATCCCTATAGCGACTAAATTTAAGGACGCATCTAGATTCTGAGTGGCTCCGAATTGGAGCTTGGGAGATCGGGAGATCTCAGCCGTTCAGTTTGTCATCACGTTAATGTCATAGGTCACCCAGGTCTGAATCCGGAGTCTCTAAATTTCCTCGTCCACGAGCCTCACACCCCGATTGCAACCTTTAACCCTCCGAACCCCTCACTTTTTCTCAAGTGCACTCAAGTAGACTTTTGGCACAAAAGGGCCGAATTTACCTAAAGTTATTTTCTGGATGATACCATTTTAACCTAATTTAGGTACTTCGAAGGACCTACAGAGTTAAACTTCCCAACAGTGTCATACATTGGTATTACGGTAAAACCCTAGTACCAATATACCTATTGTGAGGTGTCATTCACAAGAGTAGAGTGCCTATAACCTCTTAATAGTAACATACATTGGTGTTAGAATAAGATGTCACTATTATGAGGTGTGTAATTTTAATATAACCTCCTAATAGTAACATACATGGGTGTTGGGTTTAGATGTCACTATTGAGAGATGTTAGTTATAAGAAAAAGAAAACTCATAGATTTCTTCTAGTGCATTACATCAGTACGAGGACATTCTAGAAATATATTGTTTGGTTTCAAAATCCTCTTCATTTTCACATCCGCATTGTTCACGGCTATTAACGTGGACATTATAATTACGTTTGAATTCAGATTTATACACAAAAATATGAGTGAAAAAATTAATGATAATATATGTAGCGAATTATTTTACCGAAGCTCCGAAAGAGTGAATTTTTGAGAACTGACTTTAAATAAATTTATTCCACATTTTTTCAAGTCTCATAGCTATGTAATGTGATCCTAAAAATTCCTAATGATAGGAATTTTTATTCCAAAATTACACTTGAAATTGTCATTATTGGATAGTATCATCTCACTATTGGGAATAATGACGTACCATTCTTGTTGAGCAGAATTACAATGGTTCGGTTAGAAACTAATGGTTCTAGAATTTTACGTCACTAATGAGGGGATGTCACTCATTAGAGATGACACTATTGGGAGGTTTAACACTATACTAACATAACCATGCCTGCACATGGCCCGCGGTATCCTATCTTCTGGTGTTACCTTATCCCTAAATACCACAACGGCTACACTTCTAATATCATGGTAGGCTTAGGTACTCAGCTTTAGAATAAGAGTATACTATCTTCTGTTGTTACCTTATACCTAATTGCCCCAACGGCTACATATATGATATCATGGTATGATTAGGTCCCCAGCTTTAGAATAAGATGACAGCTAACATAAAACAACATACTAAACTAACTGATTTATTGTACATAGTACGATTAGATCATCAGCCTTAGAATAAAGTGATAGCTAACATAAAACAACATACTAAACTAACTAATGTATTGTATGCATTCTAAGATTACTTAATTCTAACATACTCCCTTACTCTAGAGTTGAAATCAACATCGAACTTGTACAAAGTTGTTCAAAGAATGTAGAATCTTAGAGTCAAGGGCAAGGCAATTTCGGAATGTTCAATCGTAATAATCACTATGGTCTATGATATGGAGATTTCTTTGCATGTTATTGCAAGTACTCTATGTATTTGTGTATGGTTGTAAGATCGGATGTTATATGTGTGAAATAGAACTAGAATAAACAAAGAGTTAATCATAATTAACTTAGTTATGACTAAGTCTAGCTAGTTATGACTAAGTCTAGCTAGTTATGACTAGATTAATCAAGTTATAACTATATTTAGTTATAATGGCTATACTTGGCAAAATAACTAGAAAAGTTTTAGAAGATTTGAGTGAGCACTTCTATTTTTTCATGTACAAAAGTTTAGATTCCAAGAGAAAAGACTTTTGACTTCATGTTTAGTTTTGATTGGTTTGAGTAAGTAATGGATATTTCATTGGTTAGACTAAGTCTGATGTTGACTTAGTGACAAGTGGAGGTTCTAGAAGTTGGAAATACATAAATAACATGTTGACATCTCAATCTAGAAATTAGTAAACATTGAGAAAGTTTAAAAGGCCAATGACATGTTGTCACGTATTGATAACTAGTCAAACTTATTATGATTTATCTTGATAAAAGTAAATTAGATAGAAATTACCATTTCTTGCTACGGTGAATTTTCAATTAGTTTATATAAAAAGATATAGAAAATACTCTCAAGCAAGTTTGGAAATTTCATGTGTATAAACTAGTTTCATTAATGAAAGAGTGACGATTTTCATTATATTGGAGTGTCGATGTGTGAGTGAATTTGAATAATGAATTGAGGGAATGTGTGAGAGAATGTTTGAGACATGACTATGAGAGAAAATCCTAGTCTTCTAGAACTATGATGAGCTACCACAGAGCCATCTAAGGTAAACTTGAGTAAAAGTCAGCCCGGAGATTGCAGGTCAGTTACCGGTGGATGGAAGTAGTGTGTCGCAACAAATTTGTCATTGATGATGTTGTGCTTGAAAGTGAGGTGATGCAACAAGCATAAATCCAACATTTTCATTTAATACTCCTTGAGAACCTTTAGAATATAAAACTTTTGACGCAAAAATATGA